CTCTCGCAACTCGGACTCCGCCAGACAAGGTCTCTGAGTGCAACTATACCATGCGACTTGAACTAGACTTTTTTGATCAACAATCCGGCGGCTGGCTGGCACACATGGGCTGCAATCACGGCACTCTTTTCAAAATGGCCAAGCTTCAAGATGCTCTCTTCCAGCAAAAGGCTGGCACAAATCATCTTAGAACACGGGAGGGGTCTTGGGACAAGCACACATACAACCACACGTATCTTCACACCTACTCACACCTGGGTAAGACCAGTCTGGCATCGAGTGGCAGGTTCCAAGGCCTCGCTCTGGTGAATGGTGAAAATTTTAAAGACATGCAATAAGAACAAGCTGCGTTCCAGCAAGTGGCCGGCATAGCAGCTGCGCTGCACGGCTGACTGGGCATCCCCATCATCTCGAACACATGTTGAAGGGCCCGTTTGGGCCTCCATCTTCCAACTCTAGGATTCCATGTGAAAACCCAGAAGCGCCGCTGTAAGTCGCATCCCAGCAGTTGGCTGGCAAGGCGACAGAGCATCCGTGTCACCCCGGCTGGCCAACAAGAAAGGTTGGGTTCTTAGACTTTTGGGCTATAGGCCTATAGGGGGACATCGAAACAGCGACGCTGGCCCTCCGGCAGCCAAGCGCCTGCGTAGGTATATTACCCTGCACATGACTTGCCATCCTGGAACCTCAGGCAGCTGAGCACAGCCCCTGTGTCCTAACATGAGTGGTTGCATTCGACTGAAAGGTCTTGATCCTCGGGTCGACTCGCGAACTTCAAGCTGGGCGGATTTGCAGGTTCGAAGCTCGCGGACAACCCAAAGAGAAAGTCTGTGGTCTCGCCACATGCTTTCCTGGTGATACCGCAAACCTGACTCGGAACCAAATGCTCCTGCATTGCATTCAGCCCTTGGCGGAAGCATGCTTGGCTGTGCTCGCATGCACAAGAGAGCAAATAATGCATGCCTGAAGAAACACGGTTTTCGTTGGTGCAATTACCACTGATGTTGAGGGCGTGGCGCATCACCTCCACCTGCTTCCGACACTTGGAGCTGTTGTAATGGGGCTGAACCGTGGGAGTTTGGAATAGCCACAGATGAGGCATCTCCTGGCCAGGAGGCCCGTAGCCAGGCGCTGCCAACATGAAGCAGTTCGCCAGCTTTCGACACTCTGGGTGCACCACGAAAAACTTTTGCGAGCCGGTGTCCAGCTGCACCAAGAGCTTCTGGGGCGGCGTGCCCACCGCCACCTCCGCAGTGACGGTGCCATTTGGTCCCAGGACCTGCCCTGGCGCACCGTGAAGCGGAATGGCGTTCCCGGGAATTTGGCCGTAATCCTGTTGGCAGTCCTTCGCAGGGTCCAAGTCCAGCAGCATCGGGGCTGAGAGGCTCGTCGAGTTGAAGAGCAGCGTCTTGCCCCAGAAAAAGCTGGTGCCCAAGGTGATGGCTTCACCTTGGCTCCAAGACCAGCTTACGCGGAATACTCCGGAGCATGGGGTCGATTCGTAGAAGAAGCTGGACTTTGAAATGATGATGTCCTGGCCAGGTCCCACAGTGATAATCAAGTCATGCATGTGGTTCATAGCACAGTATCTCATGCCCTCTGTCACTGCTAGTGAAGACAAACTGTATGCGCTCAAACTCGCCAACTTGTCTCCCCAAACTTCTTTGCACCAGGGGCTGTGCTTGATACGGGCATGCAGGTGGTCGATCACCTTTTCCAGAATTCTGTAGGGAATTTGAAGACCAGCGATGACCAGCGGTTCCCGAATCTATGCAGCTCTTCTGTTCCTCCACGTTCTTGTTCCAAACCTTCACGGTCTGATTCGCCACGACTTGGGAGCCTAAAGAATATGTGATGTTATCATTCGGGTCCGCCAGAGACCGCACTGCATAGAAGTTGCCAAGGGCAGAGTTGAGGTTGAACATTGACAAAGCGATCGCACTACGGGGAATCACATCAGCGGGTGGCAGGCCGAGGTACATGCGGCCGCCACCAGACGGTGTGTTCTTGAGGCACATGGTGAAGGCCCGGTTCATCGGCCCATCCCGCGAAAGTGCCGTGAGCAAGTCATCGAAGTCGGAGCTGTCGCGACAATCTTCATCTCTGAAGCATCCTGGTCCCAGGCCAATGAGGCCCGCCTCGCTCGCAACAGTCTCGAACAAGTCACCCTCGAACTGGTTGCTCACCAAGTTCACACCAACCCTGGCAGAACCATTGAAGCCTCCCCATTGCACCTGATCACGGCCAACCATGCCCATGAGAAACATCCACGTTGGAGCACCACCATACCCTTGCCAAAAGAGCTCGGTAGAGGTCGGCAACTTGCGCTGGGCGAACTGCAGGTGGGATGTCTCGTCCGGACAACCCTCTTGCGACATCACCGACCCCACAACACTGAGAAGCCGAAGCAGGGACACCAGTGCGCGCATGGCTTCGAGGCAGGGCTTGGTCGAACGATGCTTCGGCCAAGCACCGGAACGTCGCTGTAGTTGGGCTTCTTAAAGACTCCCGGAAGGAAGATCGTCAGGGGGCAACCCAGATGGAAGGAACGATTCATCACGGTCGACGCAACGACATCACAGCAATGCATGGTCTGGCTCACACATGACTTGCCATCCTGGATGCTCAGGCAGCTGCGCAGCCTGTGTCCTAACATGAGTGTTGGCGTGCCCAAAATCATCATCCTCATCATCGTCATCATCCTCATC